CGATCTCTAATCTTCCGAGGTTTGTGCTAATCTTCCGAGGTTTGTGATCGGTATGAATGGATGGCCTTCAAATTCGAATTACACGCTGCATTGTCATTGGTCGGCTTTCAAAACAACCGCAACAGGACATTTCCGGTAAGAGAGCGAACGTTTGGGGAGTTAGCGAATGGCCTCTGCGAATGTCCTGTTGTTGTTTTGAAAGCCGACCAATGACAATGCAGCGTGTAATTCGAGTTTGAAGGCCATCCATTCATACCGATCACAAACCTCGGAAGATTAGACATTTGTAAGTTTCAATTCGGCATTTTCTGCAGGAAGATATTGTTAAATTCTGAAAAGTATATTATGTAAAATTATCGCTCTTCGGATGTAACGTAATTTGGCGAGGATGCGACAGCCGAAGTTGGCGTTATTCGATTGATTTCTGTCAGCGTTTGTCCCAATTAAGGCCTACTCTGGGGCGGTAAATCGCCTTAAATCGCCCTAAATCGCGGGTTAAAATTGTCGAATTTCTCCTAAATCGCTGTATACACTGCAAGCAACAAAATTGAGCTAGTTACCAGAATGAGCTAATTTCATTATTGGTGTAAATGGAGGCTGGGCTACAATTTATATGGACTATGGAGGCTGGGCAACAAATTAATCTATAATCTAGCTACATTACTGTTAAGCCTGGTTCACATGTCTGCGATATGCCTGCGACGTCATTGTTTACAGCTGTTGATGCATTCTTTTGTGAATTATTTGGTTGAACTGCTAAGACAATAGCCCGCCGACACATCGCAGACACATGTGAACCAGGCTTTAAGCCTGGTTCACACTGATCGTAATTCATCGACGATCTATTGTATTCTTTTCCGACAGAGAAAACATTTTACACACCAATGATCACAGACAATGGAAATCCCCGATTCTTACGACCAGTGTGAACCAGGCATTAATTATAACAACAGTAGGAAACTACGAAAGTCAATGAGTACGAGTGTTGATTTATATAATAAAGTCATCGTGTAATTTGTGCACTGTTGCATGTAAGATCAAGCACTGCATTGTATACAATGGTTGTACTTCGACATGTGCATGGTTATACTCTAGCTCCTAGTTATAAGTATAGTGGCTATCAAACGAAAAATATACGTGAGGTTATGAGCGATTTGCAACTCTCGTCTATTAAATTTTCCAGACCTGTATATACAATAAACAGTAAAACAATGATTACATCTTACATACCATACAATAGATCTTTTGGTGTTGCTTGTTTGCAGAACCTAAAACCACGATGTAGTGCGCCATTTGTGGTTTTAATTTTAAAATAATTTAGAATTCCTACCATTTATATACGATATACTTCGTGTAATTTAAACATTACGGCATTACTCCGACAGTTTCCGAATGCGTGACGACACTGTTTCTGGATATGGCACTGGGATATCATATGATGTAGATATCAAAAAATTTATAAATATGTTTGTAGCATGAAGAAAGCACGAGATTGAAACAGTTTAAATAAAATGCAAGCTAAATAAAGAAGTTTTGACATGATACAATACAAAACAAGACAATTTCACTTACAAGGGTGACAAGGTAAATTATGGGATTATAGCCTATTCAGCTATACTGTATAAATACATTGTGTGTTTCTACTCCCTACCCCTTGTGATTTTTTGGAAATCAAATATTTATTATATTTTGCAATTTTAACTCGATATGTGTAGTGCATGCCCCTTAAGTAGAGTATATTAACTGTTTACAATATTTGTGGTGTATATAAATGTAGCTATGCAGGGTGTTAGCCAGAAAAAAAAATTTTGTCCGTTAAACGTAAATTGGGAAAGTTTTAACTGAACTTAGCTGAATATTTTTCCCAAAATTCTTGGCGAGCGGGGGGGGGGTTGGGGGTCACCAAAAAAATTTTTCAGGAGATATCAAAGAAATATTCCGTACTTTCCGCCAAATCCGAACATTTTTTCACAAAATATTGAAATATTTAGGTTTTGACCAATTTCGCATTGATTTTTGCCCGAACGTTAAAATTTTGGGGGACACGTGCTAATTTTCCAGTAGACCCAGTTGGAAAAGCCCTCAATTGGGAAGAGTCCGTCAAACGGACAGCATATGGGCTAGCTAACACCCTGCTATGACCCCCAAAATGAACCCCAATGGCTTCTAAATAGAGAATGGGTGAAAAGTTCATGAATATTGAGCTTTATATGTGAATCAGGTTAAATACAATAGTTAACCTAGCTTTATATAAAATGTACATACATGTTCTAATAATTGTATTTTGCTTCATACAATGCATATGACATTCCAGATGATTTCTGCATCTCTGTCGAGGAGACTGAAAAGGCCCTATTATCATCTAAACTTCATTCATCTGCAGGTCCCGATGAAATTCCTTCTTGGCTTCTCCGGGAAAACGCTTCAGTGTTGTGTCGACCTTTGTGTTCTATTTTTAATTCATCAGTTCGTGAAGGATTTGTTCCCTCAATATGGAAGGCAGCAAATATTACACCAGTTCAAATATCTTCGCCTCCTAAAGATGTTGATTCTGACTTCAGACCAATCTCCCTCACACCAATTATCAGCAAGATTCTTGAATCCTTTCCCTACAAATGGTTACTTGACTCTGTCTCAAAAAAAATTGATTCCTTGCAATTTGGTTCGCTGAAGGGTTCAAGCACTAGTATGGCATTAATCTACATGCTACATAAATGGTTTGAAGCAGCTGACAAACAAGGTTACTTGATTTTTCCAAGGCGTTTGACAGATTAGATCATAACATTCTGTTGGAAAAATTGAAAGACATGGAAATTCATCCCGTGTTACTCAACTGGATCGCAAACTTCCTAACAGGCAGACAACAAAGAACCCGTGTTGGTCAGTTCTTTTCTGAGTGGAAGTTTTTAAACGCCGGCGTCCCACAAGGAACGAAGCTTGGCCCGCTATTATTTTTGATCATGATAAATGACTTGGCTTTAGTAGATGAAACTGTTAAATTTGTCGATGATACTAGCCTTTGGGAAATAATATCAAACAATTCCCCTTCCCAGTTACCCGCTAACATCATCAGCTGCTCTGAATGGTCATCAGACAATAATATGAAGTTAAACGTATCAAAGACCAAAGAATTGCGTGTCTGCTTTTCTAAGCTTACTCCATCGTTTGCCCCTATTACCATTCGCGGTCAAGAGGTCGACGTCGTTTCCGAGGCCAAACTATTGGGCGTTGTCCTTTCGGACGACCTCAAATGGAACTGCCATATTGACTACATTTGCAAGAAAGCCGCGAAGCGTTTGTACGGTCTGCGCCTTCTTAAAAGAAATGCTTTACCTTCTCATATTCTGATCTCAACCTATTGTACACATATTCGACCAATTGTCGAATATGCTTGTCAGGTGTGGCATTATGGCCTTCCTCATTACCTGAGTGATCAAGCTGAAAAAATACAAAAAAGGGCATTAAAAATTATTTTCCCTGGGACTATCTATGCTGAATGTTTGCTTAAAGCTAACTTGATGACTCTTTACGAACGTAGAACTGTCCATTGCAAGCGACTTTTTTCGAAGATGTTGGAACCCACTCATAAACTGAATGCCTTAGTACCGCCTAAAAGTTTTCAAACTTATAATCTGAGGTCTTATCCCAACTTATTAGTACCTAGGTGTAGAACTGAACGTTTTTCGAACAGTTTCATTCCTGCTGCGTCTCGTGCTTATAATAATAAGTAAACTTTAGATTATTATCGTTATTTTTATCTAACTTACCTATTTTTACCTGTAAATATAGAATAGATTGAATACCTATGTTCTTATACCCTGTAATTCCAAAGTAATTCAGTTGTTACTGCCAGTTTGGAAATTTAAAATAATAATAATAATAAAAAATATGTGTGTGGAAACATTACATTATTATTCAGCTCACTCGCCACATTGGAGCTTTTCAGTGATCGATTACATCAGGTACTATGATTACTTATGTTAGCCTAGACTATTTATCTTTACAACAATGAGGATATGATATTACTTTCCTAACTGTGTTTATCCTAACCCACCCTGCCAATTTTGCCCTGTGGGAGGAAACCGGAGCAAAATATAGAATTCAATTTCTTTGAAAACACCTAAATTGCAATCCCTAAAATTTAGAATTTTTTCTTAAATCGCCTGAAATCGCACTAAATCGCAGTGCTTGAAAGTCCCAGTTTTTCCTTAAATCGCCTAAAATCGCCCAAAATCACATTATATCGCAGCGATTTAAGGCGATTTACGGCCCCAGATTAGGTCTTCAACTTCACACAAGAGGAGTCGAGAGAGCTCTCTCCTCCGCAGAGGCTTTTATAGTTTCAAAGAATATGAAATTCGAAGGAATTGAAATTGCGCTAGAAGGTATCTGGTATGAAGACAACCGCTGAAAATCGGCGCGCGGGCGAGGGGAAGTGAAGGGAAAAATAGGGGAAGCCTCTGCCCAATTTTTGTTCCAATATGGCGTTAAACCGGGGGGAGTGCAGATTCTCGAGCAGTTTGGCAAAATGGCTCAGTTGCGTTTGAATTATTCATCTCCACTAAGGCAATTTATTTTGGCTTTGCGGAGCGGGAAAACGTGCTGTTCTGTCTGTGGTTCACAAACAACAGACATATTTAGTCAAGTAGGCCTTCAACAACATTACCGAATTAGACACAGAGGCACAGAATTCGATGATAATGCGCTGAAAAACGGAGTGAAATGTTTGAGAAAATTTGCTGCAAATGAAACCAAGGAAAACTTGATAGCCCTTTCAGAACAGAGAAAAAATTCGGTAGGTACAATTTTTTCGGCTTTATACTTTGAATTGCGGATGTATTTTACAATGAATGTGTGTTTTAATATAGGATTTTGGTAATTACAAGATTTTTGATGTTGAAAGCGATGGTGAGAGCATGGTGTTGTGTTGTTCAAACGAGAAAGAGGCAGCAAAGTTGTTTGGGTTATATTTAGACCATAAAGTTTCCTTGCCAAAACTGGAGAATAGTGGTGAAGGCATGAAAGTGAATGTGAATAATAACTCAATGAACTGCACGTTCCAATTGTGGAAAGCTCACGACAAAGTGCATGCAGAACCAATGTACTACAAATTGGTAAGGCAATATATAAATATATCAAAATGCCCCTGCATACCAAAATATTAAATTTTTCAGCCAGTATTCTGGCTCTCCTATTAAAACGTGCTGTGACCACAAGGTCTGACCATGATGACATGATTACAGGGTTATAGGTATGCTTGATATATTTGAATACATGCTTTGCATTTGAAATATAAAAATAGGTGTTTAATTAAACACGTAAAGTACTGGATAAATGTTCCAGGGTCAGCTTTGCCAATTTCAAATGTTTTATAGTATATTTTCCTCAATTGTCTTCATACTAGATGTTCATGTCATCAATGTCCATTGTATGTAAATATTTTTGCCAAACTTGTTGTATTTTTTTTTAGAAAACACCTACCACCATTTTGCCAGCACCAAATCTGTCAAGTTGCCAAACATCCCAACCAGAAATAAGTGAATAAGTGCCATTCTTGTCCAGGAAAATAGGGAATTATCATTACTGAATTATTTGTATCGATATGACTCATTTCGCTATGGTCAACTAGAAGCAATTCAGTCCATATTGCAAGGGAAGGATACTCTTACACTTATCCCAACTGGAGGTGGGAAAAGTGTAGTATACACTTTACCTGCGATTCTGAATCAAGGACTTTCAATTGTCATTGAGCCTTTGAAATTCATCATGGAAGAACAGTGTGAGAAACTAAGACAAAAGCAAATACCAGCATTTTTCTATAATTCATCATTAACCGACAAAGAGATGCAGTTTGTAATAAATTCCCTGTGTCGTCAAGACTTGTCTCAAGTAATACTCTTTACCAGTCCAGAATGTATCATGTCTGAAAAACTGTTGAATGTTTTGAAAAAATGGAGTGATAGTGCAAAATTGAACTTTATTGCAATTGATGAAGCTCATTGCATAGATGTTTGGGGACAAGGATTCCGTGAAGATTACCTTAAACTTGGACTGCTTAAAGATTTCAAAGTACCTATTGTTGCTCTTACTGGTACAGCTACGAGTACAGTCCAGAGTAAAATAGTGGAAACATTGAGAATGGAATCCCCTGAAATAGTAAAAGTGACAAGTTCACGAAATAATTTGTTATTAAACGTTGTACCAAAGCTTGATAAACCCAAAAGACAAATTGCCAACTACATCAATGAAAATTATAAGGAACAGCGTGGTATTGTTTATTGTGCACGCCGGAAAGATACTGTTGATCTTGCACATGAACTTAAAACAGCCAACATCAATGCGGTTTTTGTCCATGGTGCCCAGTACGATGCCGAAAGGAAAAAGCATGAGCGAGCTTGGACTGATGGTCATGCCCATGTCATTTGTGCTACTAAGTCATTTGGCATGGGTATTGATCAAAAAGATGTGCGGTTTGTTTTGCACATGTCATTTCCAGAGAGTCTTGAAGACTATTATCAAGAAATTGGCCGTGCTGGAAGGGATGGAGAGCCTGCTGCTTGTACATTGTTTTTTAAGCATGAGGATAGGTCTTTCCGTCTTCACAATATTGTTAAAATTGAGGACAAAGAGTATCAAAAACATAAGTACAATTTGCTTAACCAAATTGTTAACTATTGTGACAATAACATGTGTCGGCACAAGCAAATCTTGTTGTATTCTGAGGAGAATGTTGCAGAATGTGAGGACAAATGCGACTTTTGTACTAGCAACAAAACAGTCGAATTGAAAGATCATACTTCAGTGTCAAAAATAATTGTGCAAGGTCTGTTGGCAAAAAAAGATAACAGTTTTGCTATTAACACAGTTCTTGCTTGGGTCTTGTGCCACTGAACTACAAGTTTTATCATTAAATAAGGTTAGGGTTAGCATTAGGGGAAGGGTTACATTTTGGGTGAGGCTTTACAATATAATGTAGTATAACAAATGTCTAAAAATAGAAACTCTTCCTAAAACATGATATGTTTTACTAGAAACTTGATCAGAATTGTTGATGATTTTGTAACAATCTTAATATGACATAATTGCATGTCAATATAGAATTGTCTCCTCACCGTCCATTAGTTTCTTTGTGTTACCTGTTGCCAAAACAATAGAAGGCCTGTCTGCAGTACCAGCTGGTTCTTCTTTAATGATCCCAATAACAATGAGATGGAAGATCAATCTCTGTAGTTGCTTCCTTCCATTTCTCTGCCTGTAATGAGGTTTTGCAGAACCAAATTCTTTAACCATGCCCTAACCCAAATCCTAAACCAGACCCGAACCCTTTTCCCAACTTTAATCCTAACAGACTAACTCTGAGTCTAAAAATAGAAACAATTGCTAAAATGTTCAACTCATATATTATATGGTGTATAAAATTAATTTATCCTACTGTACATATGGTTCATAAAATATATTTATTGTATTGGTTGATTTTCAGTAACCGATTAACCCTTTAAGTGGCAATGCACCTTGATGCGCCCTACTTTATAATTTTACTCTGTTTAAATGCCAGAGTATTTCACTCTGTCTAATTCCAGACTATTTTTCTCAACATCAAGTGGAGAGTGCTGCCACTCAATGGGTTAATTAATAGTAAAGTACATTTGACAAGCAAAATAGTAATTGATGCCTTTGTCAGCAGATTGGTAAATTCAAATAATTACTAAAAATAGTGATTTGCTCCGATCCCAGATCATAACCTCGCTTAATACTTAGTTATAACTTATAACAGTTAACAATTGCAGGTTTTGCATTCCATATTAGGCAATGTTGCTTGACTTTAAAAAATACTTACAGATTAGACCTGGCTACTGTACATATACATATTTGCCTTGCCTTTGAATAGAAAACTGCTATGTATAATTAATGTAAATAATTATTAATTTCTCACTTTGTTGCATGCAATCCTTGGTTAAAGTGCCTATGCAACGAAATTTTTACCTCATTTTTTATTGTTTTTTTAAAAAGTACTGCTGGAGTGATGAAGAATGACGTTTACAGTTTCGTCATATCTCATTCTCAAGTTGTCGCACTTTCTATATTTTGAGTTGTGACGTCACAAGTATGAGTTGAGATAATGGCAATAACAAGAAAGTATGATATTTTGGTGAGTATTTAATAAAATTCAATAAAACTTGGTACACTTAGTGAGTGCAACAAAGTCAGTAATTTGGCTTGTTTAGATGTCAGTAATTTAGTCAGTAATTTGGCTTGTTTAGGTAAAAATTTCGTTGCATAGGCACTTTAAATGTTCAATCTTCACATAATTCTGATTGATGTAACAATTCATATCTTAAATCTGGAAATGATTCGTACAGTTTGTATTTAAAATTCTGGGATATTTTTGCAACTCCCTTATCTACAACATCAAGCAGGCGGTGTGCGACACGAGCGCGCAGAGCATGCTGGTTGAAAATTAAATTGCGCTCATATTCCAGTCGACTTTCGTGGTGTGTGTGTCTTAAGGCGATGGGAATCACTGGTCTTTTGCCTCTTTTAAACACAAAAAAAATCCGAATATCGGAATTTTCTGGAAAGGTTGCGGCAGTGGATGCATATTGCTGGCTTCACAAAGGTGCTAGTTTGTTCGCTGAAGACGTCGTGATAAGGAACGACAATAAAAAGTAAGTTCAATCATTAAATATTTATATATTCTCCTCGAGGTTGAGGTAGTCTGACACATGTTTATATTCTTCTATTAGATGCATTGAGCTCTGTGCGGCATATTTGGATGTTTTAGAGGAGAATAACGTCACTGCAGTTGTTGTTATGGATGGCAGAAAGTTACAAGAGAAAATAGTAAATGAAAATCGGGCAAGGTATGACCTCCAAGTGTTTGAGACTTGAGAGTAGTTCGTCTTGTTATAATTTGTATATCTTGTTATAATAAATCTGTTCCTTTGAAATATATAGAGCACGAGACGAAAACCTTCGCACTGGTTTACAATTGTGGAATGAAAATCAACGGGACGAAGCTGTACGTTTTCTCAAGCAGGGGGCAAATGTATTGACCAAAATGGCTCTTGAATTGATCAAGGTAAACTGCGAATATAAAAAGTCTATGAAGATTTCTAGTAGAGCTCCAAATCGTTTAAATTATTGGAATATATTTTAAGTAGCTTTTTTTATGCATGGGAGAATTAAATTAAAAAAAAAATGTTACATTTTTTCCAAGAAGGGACAATATAAATAACCTTTCTGGTAGGGATGTTGATATACTGTAATTCACTCATGAGTCATGACCAGAGAGTCATGACTGTGGCTTGTGTTTATTATTTCTATTTGAAATTATTTGATATTACAGTTATGTAGAGAAAGACATATCACATATATTGTGGCACCTTTTGAAGCAGATGCTCAAATAGCCTTCCTGCAACAGAATGGATTTGCAGACATAGCCATAAGTGAAGATTCTGATTTACTTGTTTATGGATGTGATCAGGTTTGTTTTTTTAAACCCTGCCAAGGGGCGGTTTATATGCAACCAGACTAGCTCGCACAGTGAGAAAGCCTAGTGAGCATGAAATAGTTTCATGTGAAAATTTAATCTTGCTTTAATGAGTGGGACAATTTTAGTTGTTTTACAGTTTGTTGCAGTAGTTGGTATGTTGACCCAATGAGTTTCAATGTACCCAAATGCACCCTATTTTATTATTTTACTTTGTCTAATGCCAGGTGATTTTACTTGTCAATAAGAGAGTATTACACAATCAAACCCCAAAATTCCTCAATGCCTCATTTGGATAATTCCATATGTTCATTGAGCTATCTTTATATCAGAAACCTCCATAAAATAGACAACTGCAGATTTATTTCCTCTCAAAATCCCTATGTAAGCAGACAGTGACTGTACATTTACTTGATATAGAAATTATAATACAAGCAAGATTTTGCATATAATTATGCACTTTGGACTATCAAAGTGCATAATTATATGCAAAACCTTGCTTATATTATAATGATAGTACACTGTGTGGTGTGGGTTAATCTTAAATTAGTGAATTGTTTGTTATAGGTAATATTCAAGTTCCGTTGTGATGGAAGTGGTGATCTAATAGATTTGGAAAGTGTGAAAAATTCTGGAATTTAAGAAGTCCAGTTATGCACTTCAAAAGTTTCAAGTCAAGTGTGTTTTGAGTGGTTGTGACTATCTGAAGTCGTTAAAGGGACTGGCATTAAAAGGGCAAAGAAAGTTGTTGAGCAAGCCGAGGACAACAATATTGAATGGATTCTTGATCATTTAAGTTACATTTTAAAAATGCCATCACTACATGTTCCTGGAAGCTACAAGACAGAGTTTAAAAAAGATGTTGAAATATTTCAATTTCATCCTGTCCTAAATCCTGTTCAGAAGAAGGTTGTCAACCTGAACCACACCTCTGAACCATTATTTCAAGAATATGTTTCCCGGTAGGCTATTTCCCAGAACTATAACTTTCTAGTCAAAGTAAAATGATCATCAAAATATTCATGTAATAATTGTTGACCCATTAATGTGTAGGATTCTTCCTTTGACGAGTAAAGTCATCTGGTGCTCAACAGAATGACACTTTGTATTTTGACCAAATAGGCTAAATCCTTGTTTTTTTCTGTCTTTAGAATTAGTCATGCAGATGCTATTCAAATAGGGAATGTATGTCCACAGACTCTGGAAAAGCACAATGATTATGAATTGCCCCTAGTAAGTGATATATATATATATATATATATATATATATATATATATATATATATATATATATATATATATATATATATATATATATATATATATATATATATATATGCATGAATAGATATGGGAGAGGTGAAAGGGGCATGGCAGGCGAGCATTTGTATGCTCATTTTTTTGATCAAGGTCATAATGGATGCAAGATGTGAAAGTTAAAATTATTGATAAAACTAATGTTGCATGTCCCACACAAAGAGAAGGTTTTTGGGCATATAAACTGAATTAGTTTGAACCGCATGGGTTGAATTTAAAAGACTTTGTTTGAACAATAGAGTTAATCAAGCGAATTATTATAATTAGGGTATGGACAGTTTAAATAGTTGAAATCAAGTGTACACATGTAATCTGAAGAAGGGGCTTGCCCCGAAACGTAATAAAAAGTTGTTATATGAGCTCTGATGTATCATTGATTGATTTATATAAATGTTTATATATTATATATATATATATATATATATATATATATATATATATATATATATATATATATATATATATATATATATATATACATATATACATATACATATATACATATATACATATATATATATATACGAGTAGGTTTGTGTATACGAAACGCAAAGAGTGCTCAATATCATAAAGATAGAGCAAATGTAGTATTTCGCTTACCTCAAAATTCCGCAACAGTCTGTTTCATCAGTAAAGAATCATCAGGCGGTATGACAAGTTTCGAAAATAGGACTGCTTATATGTGTTTTGGCCGGAATGTGGGGGTGTGTGGGTGGAACAAAGCATGCATTCATCTATTGTTTGCGTTGTTTACGCGGAAATGCCTAATCGAATTGTGGGAGTGTATTTTTTGCGTTGTTTACGCGAAATTTCTTCCTATGTCTGCACGTAGATATAATTTCCATTCTTTTATTGAGTAAACGGTTTTGGTTTTCTTTCAAAATACAAAATTTTTCCTCTAAACATAAATTACATCGTTTTGATCCTCCCGTATACGAAATAGCGCGTTTCAAAATTTGCCAATTGATGTTAAAATCTTTCTTGTTATCTTTCAATGTCCAAATATATTTCGAAAGTTTAGTTTTGTTTGAGTGCTCTTTATGCTCGAAAGTATAGTTATGGTTAGCCAAACGCTCTTTAAATGTAGTTGATGTCATGCCAATATAATTCATGATCGTGTTAGGGTTGCTTGTTGTGACTGTTGCTTTGTATACTATGTCCTTAGTCATGCATTGTTTCTGAAGTGGGCATATTGCGTTTTTCGAACAACTGCATGCAATTGACAGTGCCCTTGCCCTGTGCCTTGTTCTTCCTAGCTATATGTGCATTGTGCTTAGTGATTATAGACTTAACATTGCTCATACAGCTATAACTTACTTTTACTGTATTTCTGTTAAAGATCTTGTGCAGCTTGTGGTGCGAAGGAAAATGCTTGTCGATAAGGTTAAGAAAATTACGCCCTATATTTGTGCTGACATTCATGCTGAATGGTGGGTTGAACCAAGTGATATTACGTTGCCTATTTCTGCGTGCTTGTTGTGGTGCGTGTTGAGTGTAGTTAAGATCATGATTAAAGTTGCTATGGTCAAGTGCGTTTTGGTATGCAGGTGCAGATTCCATAAATGTTTGCTCATCTGATGAAAGTATTGCGATGCGCTTGTTAACTGATGTAGGAAGCTGCCTTATAATGCTAGGTGGATGGTTGGAGTACCTATTTATGTATAGCGGATCGTCATTGGGCTTCCTATAGGGCCTATATTTTCCGTTGTTAAGATTGAAAGTTACATCTAAAAAGTTTACTATGCGTAAATTTGATTCGGCGGTGATTTTTAGGTCAAACAGCTCGAAAATTTTGTGGAGTTCTTTTCTTGTTTTGTCTGCTAAACGTGCCGATTTACTTTTTATAAGGGCCAAACCGTTGTCTCTATATAGGCCGATGCTTTCTTTGCCAAACTTCTTACTTAGGTGATTAAGATGAAAAGGCCAACTAATTCGCATATTTCGGCGCCATCGTGGCTGCCCATGGTGACGTCAAATAAACCTTCACTATCTTTTTTTGTCCATGGTTTTCCGGTGTTGAAAAGCAGAGATTTTCTGGCGTGTTTTATGATCAAAATATCATTATCCGAAATGGTAGTTAAATTAGAAGCCCAAGATAAGGCTTGGTCCAAAAGCTTTTCCGAAATGGATGGGTAAAAATCAACGATGTCAAACGAAATAAAACTATGTCTTTCTTTGTCTTTTATATTTCCAAACCATTCAATTACTTGTTTTGTATTTCTCCACTGGTTCAAATTCAGTTTTTGTCTCAAATTGGAGTTAATTTCATCTAAAATAATTTTGCTCAATTTTCCTGATTCGCTTTTTGCGGGATTAATTAGCCGGCATTTTGGATTGTTCTCGAAATTTTCTTTGTGGTCTTTTAAAGATATAAATGCTTCACGTTTTTTCATTTTTTCAATTCTGTCGCCGATTCCTAAATTGTTCGAAATGTCTTTTAGTTCAGAGTCAATTTCGTCTATAGTGTCCTCGGATCCATGTTTATATGTTTTTGTAATGTTGTCATGTAAGAGCTTGTTGTATGTGTCGAGCGAGGCTTCATAAATATTTCTAGTTTTGTCTGCAAAAATGAAAATGTTGGGAGATGAATTAATTTTCTTCAAATGGCCTTTTCATCCTAAATCACCTAAGTAAGAAGTTTGGTAAAGAAAGCATCGGCCTATATAGAGACGACGGTTTGGCTCTTATAAAAAGTAAATCGGCAGGTTTAGCAGACAAAACAAGAAAAGAACTCCACAAAATTTTCGAGCTGTTTGACCTAAAAATCACCGCCGAATTAAATTTACGCATAGTGAACTTTTTAGATGTAACTTTCAATCTTAACAACGGAAAATATAGGCCCTATAGGAAGCCCAATGACGATCCGCTATACAGAAATAGGTACTCCAATCATCCACCTAGCATTATAAGGCAGCTTCCTACATCAGTTAACAAGCGCATCGCAATGCTTTCATCAGATGAGCAAACATTTATGGAATCTGCACCTGCATACCAAAACGCACTTGACCATAGCAACTTTAATCATGATCTTAACTATACACTCAACATGCACCACAGCAAGCACGCAGAAATAGGCAACGTAATATCATTTGGTTCAACCCACTATTTAGCATGAATGTCAGCACTAACATAGGGCGTAATTTTCTTAACCTTATCGACAAGCACTTTCCTTCGCACCACAAGGTGCATAAGATCTTTAACAGAAATACGGTAAAAGTAAGTTATAGCTGCATGAGCAATGTTAGGTCTATAATCACTATAAGCACAATGCACATATAGCTAGGAAGAACAAGGCACAGGACACTGTCAATTGCAGTTGTTCGAAAAACACAATATGCCCACTTCAGAAACAATGCATGACTAAGGACATAGTATACAAAGCAACAGTCACAACAAGCAACCCTAACACGATCATGAATTATATTGGCATGACATCAACTACATTTAAAGAGCGTTTGGCTAACCATAACTATACTTTCGAGCATAAAGAGCACTCAAACAAAACTGAGCTTTCGAAATATATTTGGACATTGAAAGATAGCAAGAAAGATTTTAATATCAATTGGCAAATTTTGAAACGCGCTATTTCGTATACGGGAGGATCAAAACGATGTAATTTATGTTTAGAAGAAAAATTTTGCATTTTGAAAGAAAACCAAAACTGTTTACTCAATAAAAGAATGGAAATTATATCTACGTGCAGACATAGGAAGAAATTTCGCGTAAACAACGCAAACAATACACTCCCACAACTCGATTAGGCATTTCCGCGTAAACAACGCAAACAATAGATGAATGCATGCTTTGTTTCACCCACACACACCCACATTCCGGCCAAAACACATATAAGCAGTCCTATTTTCGAAACTTGTCATACCGCCTGATGATTATTTACTGATGAAACAGACTGTTGCGGAATTTTGAGGTAAGCGAAATTATATATATATATATATATATATATATATATATATATATATATATATATATATATATATATATATATATATATATATATATATATATATATATATATATATATATATAAACTAAAGTCAAAAACCTGGGGTTTTTTCCAAATTATGGACTTCGTTTACCGATTTTGCCGGCAGGCCAATTTATTAATATTATCCAAATTAGACAAATAACAATTGATTAATTTTCCCCACTGTGATTTGACAACACATATCGAAACGTGATGCACTGCTTATAGTCCGAAGGAAGACAGGGGTAAGAGGTTTCATATAGAACGACTTATATATATGAATACAGTAAAAAAAAAAAATCACTTGCATGAAGAATTGTGCAATTAACCACTTATTTAGTTCTATGTCTGGCAAAAACTACATCAAAAATTACATCAGGGGCGTGCTGAGTCTTCAAAAAGAACAACGAATGAGCGACATCTGAGAGAGACCCTGCGGGGGAATTTGCGAATGCAAAATGTGTCTTGAGACGCATTTGATATTATGCGATATGAGATATTATGACATTTAAATAGGTAAATAAAGCAATTTGTGATGTATTTTTACACTGTATGATATAAGAATGGACAATCATCATCTACAGTAGGCCTACTAGAGAAACAAAAACCACTTCATCTCACTACTGTCTGCATTGTCCCCAAGCCAATGGCGCGGAGCACCGT